ATCATTGTTTTGACTTACTAGGCAAGGTTCAGTGTATCGTTGCTTGATATAAAATGCCCTTCAAAGACATGTATCATCTGACCTCACTGGTATGAGGAATTCCTAATCTCAGGAAACAAACTGAGGGTTGCTGGAGTGGTGGGGGGTGGGAGGGATGGGGTGGCTGGGTGGTAGACATTGGGGAGGGTGTGTGCTATGGTGAGCGCTGTGAATTGTGCAAGACTGTTGAATCACAGATCTGTACTTCTGAAACAAGTAATACAATATATGTTAAAAAAAAAAAAAGAAGAAGATAGCAGGAGGGGAAGAATGAAGGGGGGGAAATCGGAGGGGGAGACGAACCATGAGAGACGATGGACTCTGAAAAACAAACTGAGGTTTCTAGAGGGGAGGGGGGTGGGGGGATGGGTTAGTCTTGTGATGGGTATTAAAGAGGGCACGTTCTGCATGGTGCACTGGGTGTTATGCACAAACAATGCATCATGGAACCCTACATCAAAAACTAATGATGTAATGTATGGCGATTAACATAACAATAAAAAATGAAAAAAATAAAATGCCCTTCATTATCTAATGAGATGGAATTGATTTTCTTCTCTCAATTAATTATTCCCCTGAAAATATAATTAGGGTCTGAAAGATACTATTTTGTAAAATCAAAACCGGCTGATTTTAAAATCTTACTTTTGTTTTACTCCAGGAAAAAAAGTCCCAGCATGTGTGGCTCCCTGATGTAAATTCCTCTCTTCTTGGAGAATCAATGAATCAAGCAGGACTTGTTACCTTAATTTATGGAAAGGCTTTGGCTTCATGACCCTGGGCAAAGTTCTGTGTAGAAAAGAGGTAGATGAGTTTTCTGCTCAGGCAGATGGTAGAACCCAAGAGACTTTAGGATGGCAAAATAATTATTATTTAAGATCTACTGTGATTTTTTTTTTTTTTAAGATTTTATTTGGGACTCTAGGATCATGACCTGAGCTGAAGGCAGTCGCTTAACCAACTGAGCCACCCAGGCACCCTCTACTGTGATATTTTCTTGAAAACACCTTGGCTTCAGTCATTTTTAGTTCTGGAAAAACTCACTGATTATTAATGTAGTGGAGAGTCAACCTTATTGACTTAGGTCTCCTTTAATTTACATTGTTAGATTTTGTGTTCATAAATTAGACTTAGAAGTAGTGCTTTGCCACTAATTGAACATTTCATCAGATTTCAAAATGAATAAGCCCAAGTCTTTTCTTCTAGAACTTTTTTTTAAAAGTCTTATTTACAGAATAAGAGCTTGTTTTTTTCCCCTGCATTTTCTCCCTAAGGAAACCATATAATTCACTGAGTGTTTGTAATGGTTACTGGCTGATGAGTAAGAATGAGGCACAATGGTGGGCCTGACTGCTGCCACACGTCTGCTCATTGGATTTGTGTTAAAAGCATCATTTACAAAAGTATTTTACTAATGAGTTCGCTTGATCATATCTCAGGAACAGGGCAGAATCAAAAGACTGGGTTAATCAACTTTAAGTAAGGATTCCTGAACATGATTTGTATGTATTTGTGTTTTAGGAGCCTTAGGGAGCCTTGAGATAAAGCATCTGGGAGTTTTTCTATTATCAAGAGCTGAAAATTATTCAGGAATTGGCTTACATAAAATTGTCTTTTCTTGAATATTTTTCCCCAGTCTATTTATGAGGAATCTGCTGTTTTGATGCCAGCGTTGAGTGAAAGACAAGAGATGAGAGAAATGTACTTCCTTTTCTGTGCAGCCGATAGACCTCACTGTCAGCAATGGAGAATTGGAATGGTCTTAGAAACATTTTTTCCAGGACGGACTTTGGGTTATGCCTGAATTATTTCTCTTGGAAATGTGATGATTAATAACCCACCATGAATGAGATAGGTAGCTACGATTAGAGTTTAGTGTTGGTTCACAGAACAGAGAAGCCACATTTGTCTGGTATTCTTAACTTCATTATTGCCATGCCAAAAAGTCAGCTAATATATCTACTGGCAGGATCATTTCCATACAAAAGAAAAATCATGGATCCAATATACACATCAAAAAACCTTTGCGAATATGAGATAAGAGGAGAGTAGTTTCCTAGGTGTCCCTGCACAGGCCGGTCACTATTCTTATTGATGGTGGTAGCTCTACCACTGGTTGACCTTGGGGTCAGAGGAACTAGGGTAGGGCTGGAACTAGCAGCAGGACAGGGCCAGAGGTCACAGCCACAGAGAGTGTGAGAGAAGAAGGGTGAACCCTGACTCCTCGCGAAGGCCGAGACACAGCATCATAACAACTGAATCCCTTTGTGTCCAAGGAATCCTGGATTTTGCATTTGAAGGAATCTTACAGATCATAGTTTAATCACTTCAGTTTTCAGCAGAGGAATCAGAGATCCAGATGTGTAAGGCACTTTCCCCAAATCAGACATCTAGTCGTGGCTGAGCAGTGACCAGAACTGTTTCCAGGCACCCACCTCACCAACGCCTTTTCCACTGATATTATCATCCCTGCACTCTGTCTCCATGTGACAGGTTGCTCAGTGAAAAATTGTTCAATAGAAAACAAAGAGCCTCAGCATTCAGTAAGTATCTATGGAGTGCTGACTACATGCCAGGCACTGCTCTAGGCACTGGTGTTTTTACAGGGACATATTCATATTCTTCATTTTTCTCTGTGGCTTTTTTTTTTCTTGGCCACTTTTCTTTTATCAGCTCCCCTCTGAGACTCATTTGTACTGCTTGCTGTTCATTCTTGAGTCATGGTGGGGGGCCAAGGACAGTTTTGGAGGTGGTGGTGTTGAGGTCTTTCAGAAGTGAATGCTCATAACTTCGTATTAAAAATTCCCCAAATGCCCACAAAAGTCTGTTTTCTTGAGTCATTTAGAAAATCAAATGGCCATGATAGATCTTCACTGAGGAAGGAGAACCAATAAATCTTGGTTGCCTTTAGTTGCAAACGCTGCCTCTTGAATAAGAATTTGTATGTAGATTTCTTGAGAAATTTGAAAAAGGCAAGGAGTTTGGGAATGAGCTTGGAACAGGATTATCTTTTATACCGACAAAAGTAGATAGATGATTATTCCCCCCCACACAATAAATATTATGCTATTTATTTTTCTAGGACTCTCATGAAATCCCAAGTGGAAGATTATCTTAACACTTCGCAAATAACCAGAGGTAAGCATTCTTCACTTCTACCTGCTGCAGAAGCAAGATGTGCCTCTACTATTTCAATTAAGGAATATAAATATTGCATTGATGGGGTTATGATAGAAATTTGATTTGGAAATAAGTCACTTCCATAGCTGAGAGTTTGAAATGAGAATTATCTTAACACTTTTGAAAAATTTTCCCATAGATGTGATAATTACCTCCCATTCAGACCAACACAGGATTTATCTCACAGTTGATGGACACTCCTTGATTTTTCAACTTCAGGAGAATTCTCCCAGTAATAATATGATTTGTTAATTCTACATAGATTTCGTCTTCATAGAAGAGCTGGTGGGATTCAGGATTAGTTGTGGCATTGTTAGAAATTGCACTAACCAGTACGGAATTTGGGGGATGGGTTTCTGTAAGGTGAGATTTTATCCTGGCCATCTGACCGACATCTCTCGCAGAGAAGAAAGTCGTGCAGAGAGGAGAGGTTTGGTGTGGCTCACTGTAATTTTATTTTTTCCTGATACACTTATATTTATTTTTAAAAACTCTCCAAATATTTTTGAGTCCGTTTTAATGACTTACCCCAGGATAAGGAAGAATCGTTTGTTATGCGTGGATGTGGTATATAGAATGATGCCACCCCCATCGCCCACTCCTCCAGTCCCCAGAACCTGTGAATATGTTACTTTACTTGGCAAATGAAAATTTGCAAATATGATTAAGTTAATCACCGTGAGATGGGGAGATTATCTTGTATTCTGTGGAGCAGGGGTGCCCCCCATAGGTCCAATCGCATAGGTCCTTAAAAGAGGAGAATCTTTCTAGGCTCTGATGAGAAAGATAGGATGGAATGATGGAAGAAGGGTCAGAGAGATGCTGTTACTGTCTTTGAAGATGGAGGAAGGGAGCCATGACCCAAGTAATGTGGGCAGTCTCTACAGCCAGAAAAGGCAAGGAAATGGATCACCAGTTAGAGTCTACAGAAGGGAACGTAGTCCTGCTGACATCTTGATTTTTTGTCCAGTGAGACCCATGTCTGACGTGTGACCTCCACAACTATAAAATAATACGTATGTTGTTTTAAGTCTCTAAATATATGTGGCAATTTGTTACAGCTGCAAGAAAAACCAATACAATGGAGATTCGATTTAATAAGAGAAAATGAGCAGCAAGGGTCAATGGGCCTTTCTTTAGATGGACAAGTGGTAACATATGGGACCTTCGAGGAGTGGTAGTGGAACCTGGACTTCTAAAATTAGGGTTTTCATAGATAATTCAGAATTAGGATTGCAAAGTGAAACTCCAGGTTTCCTTACAATTGTGTTCTTTCTAGATACTGAAACGTCAGACTTTGCAAAAGTGGGAGATGAGCTTCTGTGTGGGCAAGTGGCAGACAATAACTTGAGGGGAAAATGACCCAAGGTAGGTAGTGATAATAACATTCAGTGATATGTTTGGTGAGCCGTTTTCAGCTTCTGACCTGTTATCCTTTTTTTTTTTTTTATAATAGGGCTCTTATTTTTATTTATTTATTTTTCTTTAAATTTTTATTGTTATGTTAATCACCATACATTACATCATTAGTTTTTGATGCAGTGTTCCATGATTCATGGTTTGTGCTGACCTGTTATCTTTAATGAAAATTCTGACTTTAGGGGCGCCTGGGTGGCTCAGATGGTTAAGCATCTGCCTTCGGCTCAGGTCATGATCCCAGGGTCCTGGGATCAAGCCCCACATCGGGCTCCTGGCTCAGCGGGGAGCCTGCTTCTCCTGCCTCTGCCTCTCTCCCTGCTCATGCTCTCTCTCTGTATCTCTGTGTCTCAAATGAATAAATAAGCTTTGCGCAGTGGCAGTATCGTAGCCAATGAGGTTTATCCGAGGCGCGATTATTGCTAATTGAAAACTTTTCTCAAATGAATAAATAAAATCTTAAAAAAAAAAAAAAAAGAAAATTCTGACTTTAGTTACCAGGTGTTGCTAGGGCAACCTAGACAAGAGATTTTTACATTAGCCTCAGGCATTGTATGCCTATTACACCTGGAATTAGGGTAGAATAGCAATGGACAGTTTTCCTCTTCACAGGATCAGAAAACTTTGGCTGGGAGAAAGCAAGAGGAAGAACAAGATTCTGGACTCAAGAGAGGCTGGCATAACTCGCCCCAGAATCAACCCTGTGAAGAAAGAGAGAAATAAATCCTTTAAGGGCTGTGCTACTCAAGCTGCTATAAGAACTCCTTTAGGGGTGAGTGGCCATTTCCATGAAGTATAGAAAGCTACAGGAACATTGTGGAACATCTTCCTGGAAGTGAGTGAATGGAATGATTTTGGGAAAAGCATTTTGTTTTAAATGCCTAAGTAATTATGAAATAGAAGGCACGATCTATACCGGTATTCAAAGCAAAGACCTCAAAGGAATTTCATGCAGCCACAGACAACGGAGGTGCACTCTCTGCTCCTCAAGAGGTGGGAAGGCTTAGGAAGCACTGGTGTAAGGCAATAATAACCCCCAACCATGACACCTCCTCTTCCACATTCCTTCCACAGGGAGTGACAAACAACTGGGCTTTCCTAGATATTTACTTCTAAATTATTGCCCAAAGTATATTTGATGACCTAGTCCATCTGACACATTTCACTACAGTGTGTGTGTATATTCTTTGTAAGTTCACCTGAGTCTTTCTCTCCAGACTACCTCCCACTCCTCTTGATTGTTCCCCTCGTGTTATAGCGAACTGTTCTTTATCCATTCTCAGAGCACTGTCCCGGGCTGGGTTTCCAGGGACGCAGACTCTAGGAGGGAGATTAGTGTGCTGGAGGTTTATTTGGGAGTGTTCTTTGGGATTAATGACTACTACAGGGAAGGAAGCAGGATTGGGCAGAGAGAAAAGCTGGGCTGAGATGCATTCTCAATGAAAAACCTAGTTTGGCCCCAAAGGATGCTCTGAAACTAAGGTTGTCCTTAAGAGTTGTTCTGTGTTGGGGTGAGGAAGTTGGGCTTATTGGGTTCTGGCTGCCTGGGAATATGGTTGTTAGATTTAGCAAATAAAAACATAACATGCCCAGTTACATTTAAATTTCAGATTGATAACACATAGTGTTTTTTTAGCACATGGGTGTCTCAGGCAATATTTGGAACATATCCATACTAAAAATTGTTTGTTGATCTGAAATTCAAATTTAACTGGATGTCCTGTATTGTATCTGGTAACCCTGTCAGGGAAAGGAGCAGGGCCATTCAGAGAAGGAAGGAACAGTGGCTGGGGGAATCTGGAAAGGTCTCTGGAAGAAGATGGTATTTGAGCAGGGCCCCAGTGGGCAGGCTAGATTTGGATGTGCAGAGATGGGCAGCTCTGGAGAGCCCTCCAAAGGCTCATGCGTGGAGGTTATTGTGCATTTGGGCCAGGTTCAAGTTGTCTCAGCAGAGGTCATTGTGCATTTGGGCCAGGTTCAAGTTGTCTCAGTTCCCAAAGAGGCTGACAGGTGAGGACCAAATGTGGGCAGCAGCCCCAGCAGGTAGGGACACAAGTCCTCCAGTTCTCCTGGAGAATCTGTGCGGAGCATCTGCCCTAGGCACACATCACTTCCCATTTTGCATCACCATTGGTTGTCAATGTGGGAGTCAGGTAGGAGTGTGTGGGCTTTTGTGAATCCAATAATAGTATTTGATGGGAATAAAACAGGGAGGTTTTGTGGTTCTTTTCTTTCACTTAAAAAGAAAAATGATACCATTTTAAGATGACCTAGGTGAATCTCCAAGAGGAAGAAAAAGATCTTCTCCTAGATGCCAACTATATGGTTTTATTGTCAGCAACTGGGACCAACTTGAATTGACAGCTGACTCTGTTAGATACATTAGAAAGAATAGCTACAGAGTACTTGTAATCAAACTAAAGTTCTCATATTTGTAAATGTCTCTGGATATTTAAGTCCCTTATGGAAAATATCTCTATCCAGAAGATAAACTTATCTGCTTAAGTGTATATCCTGCAATTACGAGATGCTGAAAGTGCATGTTACTTTATGGGAATCTTACTAAGATGGCAGATGGTTCAGATAAGCCATTGGGTATCCTACTTCCTACTTTAAATTTTTCCTCGGCTAATAAAAAGGAATGAGATCTTGCCATTTGCAACGACGTGGATGGAACTGGAGGGTGTTATGCTGAGTGAAATAAGTCAATCAGAGAAAGACATGTATCATATGACCTCACTGATATGAGGAATTCTTAATCTCAGGAAACAAACTGAGGGTTGCTGGAGTGGTGGGGGGTGGGAGGGATGGGGTGGCTGGGTGATAGACACTGGGGAGGGTATGTGCTATGGTGAGCGCTGTGAATTGTGCAAGACTGTTGAATCACAGATCTGTACCTCTGAAACAAATAATGCAATATATGTTAAGAAAAAAAAAAAAGAAGAAGATAGCAGGAGGGGAAGAATGAAGGGGAGTAAGTCGGAGGGGGAGATGAACCATGAGAGACGATGGACTCTGAAAAACAAACTGAGGGTTCTAGAGGGGAGGAGGGTGGGGGGATGGGTTAGCCTGATGATGGGTATTAAAGAGGGCACGTTCTGCGTGGAGCACTGGGTGTTATGCACAAACAATGAATCACGGAACACTACATCAAAAACTAATGATGTAATGTATGGTGATTAACATAACAATAAAAGAAAATTAAAAACATTTTTTCCTCGGCTAAAAATGTAACGGCTATTAAACTATAGCATAAACATTTGAGGCCATCATCATCAAGTTGTCTTTATGTTCACGTGGACATCTAATCTTTTTCTGAGAAAAATCTTGGCTCTGGCTGGGGGTTATCCTTTGGCCCGTCTCTGTGGGTACCAAACTTTTTTTCAGTTCAGCCTTGTGTCATTTTATAGACTCCTTGTTCTGGTTTCTAACCCAACTTTGCTGAACCAAGCCACATAGCTGTGTGCTCCACAGGAACATAGAATACCTCATCTCTAACTGCTTTCAGGAAATACAGCCCCAATTTGCAGCTTCATTGTAATGATTAAATCTATATTTATAAAGGGTTGTCCAAAAATGCACAGTGTATTGATTCCTTTAGATGTCATAAAATTCATATCTTGACCACTGAAAGCTATATTCTTATACCACATTGTTGTGACTTTCATAGAATTGCCTTTTTAAATATTACCTTGGGTTAATTTTACCTTGTGTACCTTAAAGAATATTATATAAAAGAGTTCTGTGAATCCCACTAATAATATGGTGACAATAATAATAATTATTACTTATTATATGATGATAATTCATGAAATTCCTTCATTCTTTCAATAAATATACACTGAGCAATTTCTATATGCTAGCTCTTCTTTTAAATTCTGGGAACACGAATGAGATAGACAAAGTCTCTGCCTTCATTAAATTTATATTTTAGTGGGGGGAAGACAGATTCAAAAAGAGATAAAATATAAGTTGATGGCAAGTGCTATGGGAAGAAACAGAGCTGGGAAGGGAGATGCGGAGTTGTGATTTTAAGTAGGTGGCCATTGAGGACTTCTCCAGTGATGCCTAGGATGACCCAGATATTTTGCTGCACATTTTCCATCAGGATGTTGTTCATTATTTAATCCCATGAAGATCAGTATTTATTGTATTACACAGTGTCCTCTTTATGAGGACCCATGCGGGAACTTTCCCTTTGGTGGTAGAACTAGCAGTAGTTGGGCTTCTCAGTAACTGGTTTCTTTTTATTTTCTGGGCAACAAGAATCATGTAATAGATCATGTTTACCTCTTTGTTTAGGCTATAAGGAAACTTAAAACTTTGGCATGAACTAAGAGTACTGACTTTACTCTCGCCTTTGTCTTACTTCTTCTACCTCATTTTAGCCTTTGTCCCAACTGATTCCCTTACTTTAAATTTTATTTTATGTTGTTATATTTATTTTGCTATGCTTCCTTAAATTTTTAAAAAAGATTTATTTATTTATTTTACAGAGGGAAAGAGCGCGTGAGCATGAGGGGTGGGGCAGAGGCAGAGGGAGAGACAGAATCCTCCAGCGGATTTCCCACTGAGCACAGAGTCAGATGTGGGCAGATCCCAGGACCCTGAGATCATGACCTGAGCCAAAATCAAGAGTCAGCCACTTAACCCACTGATCCACCCAGGTGCCCCTAAATATTTTTGAACAAAGTAAAACATGAATAAAAATAATGCTTACATGCACACACCCATACATCTATACATACTTAAATAAACAAATCATCCCACAAAGGTGTAGTACCTCTTCCTCATTTCCCAGTACCTTGGACCTGGAGTTCTTATCTGAAAAAGGTTCTCATGCTTCCTGGTAACTTGCTTCTATAGTTGCTCAATAAATTTATATGGAATAACAGTTTCAGTAGCAGTTATAATTTAAGTGAGAAAGATATTCCTGGATATCTTAGGAGTTTTTGCATTTGAATGTCAAACAGGTAAAATTTTGCTGGTTTAGTTTTTTTGAATGGTGATATTTAAAATACTGAACTTTTTAAATATAAATGTATGGGGCAAGTCTGGAACATGATTGATACATTATTATGACTCTTCTAAACCACTTTCTAAAAATTTTCAATCCATGGGTTTTCGTAATTCTGGGATGATGAAACCCTTTGAAAACTATCATTTTCTCTCCAGACAAACTCAGTTACAGAAAAAGTAATGTGCAGCCCTAGAAGAGACATGGAAAAGTTGAAGCCCATCCATCAACCAACCCCAGATTATGAATGCTTGTTGCATATTTCTCTTTTTAAATAATACTACATGTTCTTACATTTTTAATACCCAAAAGCAGAAAGAAGCAGAAAAATTACCTTCAACTACAGCACCAAGAGACAGCTATTTTTCATAACATTTGGACATATTTATCTTTGATCCTTGTATTTTCATTTTGAAAAATGTATTGAGTTTACATTATTGATATGATTTTATATCCTGATTGTTTTGCTTAACAATATATAGTAAGTAGTTGC